AAAAATTCATTTTCACGATCTCTTGATATGGTAATTTTCAGGAGCCAAATCAAACTTCAGGAAGATATTAACTGCACTCATATAGCAGGTGCAGCTTAGGTTGAGGACTTTCATATCGTATAGATTTCCCGGTCACCGTGAGAACGTCCGATGACGTAATCATTCAAAAATTAGAAAAAAAACCTCCAAACTACATCAAAAATGGAGCGGATATGCAAAGCAAAAAGCTCAATAATTAAAAGCTCTTTTCATAGCACCTGGTAAAAAAATTGGCCTTATGCATGTTTTTCGAAATTCGCAATAATTTTGTAAGCAATAAATTTCATAATCAAACCGAAAATTCAGGTGTTCGGCACATCTGGTTTTTGAAACATTGCATTGGATGTTCGCTTTTTTTCTACTGTCATTTTTCTACTGGCATTAGCAGTGCTTCTTTTCTCTATTCTATTATACATTACCAAAATTAAACCAACAGAGGCGAAGCGGAGCTCACACCATTTGCGCTACATTACAAACATGTGGCATGGCGAGTTAGCCGACAAAAAGGAGCCGGTGCTCAAAGTAAGATGATCTGCTGGAAAAGTTTTTATCTGCCAACATTTTCAAATCTCAATTCAAATTATATTCATTTTAGAAGAACCATGATGTCAAAAAGTTAATTGTCAAAACTGACCTAGCATTGGGAAAAAGTATATAAAGCGCTAATTGAGCCGACAATACTTGCCGCGAGTTGACCGTTGCTGCAAAAAAGAGGTCCTAAGAACTTGAGCATAAGCATTAAAAGCTACTATACCTGATATAATAAACCCCGAAAACTTTCAAGCCAAATAAATAATTATATTAAGAAAATTATAAAGTTAATTTATACCAAAACGGAGTTTATAATTATACAACCAAAACTTAAAAAATCGAATAGAATGGGTATTTAAAATGCAATTAAGCTTCAAATACATCGGTTTCAAAAAATTCTAACAGAAGCCTCCAGGAAGTAAATCCTGTTCCCGGGAAAAATTCAAGGACTCTTGGAAGTGTAAAAGTGTATACAGTTTTAAACAACACGAATTGTATTTTCACAATTTTTTGTAGAATCATTGCTGAGTCTCATGGTCCCATGATATCCAAAAAAGATGCAAAAGTTTTAGAATCCAATTAACCTCATCAGTATAACTTTGCAAATAAATTTTATTATCTGTACGCAGGAGCGAACCTAGGAATTTCTCGAGGGGGGCGGATTTTCAAAAAAAATTTGAAAATCTTGTCGACCTTTTTTTTAGTGTCGACCCAATTGATTTTCTGAGCTCTCCCTCGCAAACCACTATTTAAAAACTCTAATTTGACAACATTTTGTGGGCCGCAGGCAGATTTTTGAAAAAAAGGTGTTTTTAGGCACTTTTTGGAAAATGTCGACCAAAAAATTGCGTTTTTTCGGCGGGCGCTCACCACTCACAATAAGGATAGATTAGCGCCAAAGGCGCCTTTAGAAAAATTTTAAGGTCAGTCAGCCAACAAAAAAGATATCTCAAAATAGTACAAAGGGGGACCCTTTGGGTCGGCAGGGGTCGAATTCCTGAGGGAGGGGGGCGTCCCCCCCGCAAATCCGCAACTGCCTGTACGTATGTTTTGCAATTTCGAAATTTTACTCTTTTAACCGCATTATTTTTTAAATTCATCCTTACAGCAATCAAAATAAATCTTCACAGTTTTGAAGCTCGTTTGTAGTTCCCATTTAAAAAAAAAGTGACGGATTATTTGTGCTCGAGGTGTTTTTTTCTCCAGTCGAAATTTCAACTTTTTAATTAGCAGTTTTTGACGGATTTTTTTAATCAATCGAAATGTATTGTTGTCCTGAGCTCAAACTTAAAAAGATATTTCAGCTGAGATCTTTTTGTAGAGATATGGGGGTTTTAAATTTACCAATGTGGCTATTTTGGTACAAATAACGCGCGATGTATCTATAAAGCGTATTTCGTTCAATTCACTCGTAATTTGAATTTTTTTAGTTTATTTGAAAAATTAAAATGTAGTCGGAACATTCAGAGCTTTACCAGCTGTCTTGTTTACTCTCTGTATTTGCACTCGTTTCTCATAGTTTTTACTAAACATTATGAGTCTAAAAATTGCGCGTTGGAGTTCGATAAAATTTTGTAGCCTGATTGCTCAGTTTCATTTTCTCATGAATTTCAAATCAGATCGAAAGGAACTAGTACATCAAAATATTTTTTCATTAGCTGATTTTATTTTTTGCTGGCTTTCACAGAAAGAAACCGAATCTTCATACTCAGACTAAATTTCTTTTTTCAGACTAATTTTTTTTCTTTCAGACTAATTTTAACTATGGAAAAATTGTTTTTAAAAGTAATTATTTATAGTAAACCGCATTTAATAAAGTGAACGGTTGCAAAATGGTTGCTTTTTTCTACTTTTTGCACCTGCACTTCGTTTCTCTAATTAAGCATGACAAAACAAACAAAATTTCATTAGTCTTAAGCAACGCGTTCAAGTTTGACAAAAAAGTGTAACCTAATTGCTTACTTTCATTAATGACATAAATTTTTAAAACCGCATTTAGCTAAACTTATTAGATTATTTGTTTAAGTAAGTTCGCATTAGCTGTTAGCTTTTTTATACAAATTTTTGAGCAACAACGGAATTTTTGTTTATGCTCGGTGGCCATTGTTTTTTGTTTCTCATACGAATTTTGGCAACCGAACGAATAATTTTTGAAGAGAAATTTTCAACTTTTGCTGAAAATAATTGTGCTTAAAAGTAAAATATTTTCCCTCTGTAATCATTTTTCCAATTTTTGGGCTTTTACAACGGCAAAACTAGCCAAAAAATGTCGACCTCATTCAAGCGCTTCTCATCCAAGAATTTAATTATGATGTTCAACGCTTAAGGGCAATTTTTTTAGTGGCGTAAGTTCAAAGTTTTTTCCCAGCATATTTAAAGCAATCTAAGTTGTCCTATTTCCCAAAACTATTCCAATTATAGACATTATAGCTCTTAATTTCTTGCTAATAGCCGTCGTAGGCGGCGAAACAAACATTTAAAATTTAATTAGAAAAAAAAAACGGAAGCTAAAGTTTATGCTTTGATCCGAGCAGTTTTGTTTTCCGTATGTTATGATTATCTAAATAGATATAATTGACACTTCGATTTTCAAAATTTTCAGCCGTACTTGGCAATTTACACCTAATACGGGGCAAAAAAATTAGTATAAATTAACCAGTTGAAGTATAAACCAACCGAATATGCTCAGGTTTTATACACCAGTCAAAATATTACGTCGTATGATTGAAAAATGCATAATTTGCTTCACTGCTACATAAATGTTAAATGACAATTTTTTAACAAAAACGTATTTTCGGCTGCTTTTATGATAGCTCGTTTGTACTTCAGCTGGTTCATAGACCACCAAAAAAACGATTTTATTGTTAAAATTTTCCCAAAAACACCTAAAATGTCAATTTGGCCTGCTTGTATAAATTAAATTTTGCCTTTAATGCAGAAAAGTTTGGCAAAGCAAGGTCACGATAGGGTTTCTTTGTTTTAAGATAGCGCTGAAAGTCCATTTGGTTGGCCTCAGGGGCGAATCTAGGGACGTCCCCTTCCTCCTTCAAAGATTCGACTCCCTGTCGACCCAAATGGTTTCCCCTTTGGTACTCTTTAAGACATCCATTTTTGGCTGACGACCCTAAAAATTTCTTCGGCGCCATTATATACTAAACTTGATGGGGAACGCGGACCAAAAAACCGCGGTTTTTTACTCAACATTTTATAAAAAGTGCCCAAAAACGGCTTTTTTGACTTGTTTTTTGAAACCTTGAATGCGGCGCAAACATTTTTGGGAAATTACGGTATGGTAGTGTTCTGTGAGTGCTCGGAAACACAATTTAGTCGACTTAAAAAATCGACAAAATCCCCCCCCCCCCCCCCCCCGAGAAAATCCCAGATCCGCCCCTGGTTGCTCTGCATCTACTTGAAAGTTTAGTCGAACTAAAAATCAGCCGTAATAACCCCAACGTTATAAACGTTATGAGGAGCGACGAAAATCGTTTTTATGAAGGTTTAATAATGCATCATTCCTTTTCCAGAGCGCCATCGCCGCACGAAAGTTTGGGGCGAATATTACAATAATTCAGGTTACGTTCTGCATGTTTAACTATTGTCAGATACTGTTGAAATGGTGACGTAGCATAGCGTATACATTCCATATCTACATTTTTCTGTAGTGCCCATAACAACGCCTACTTTTTGAGTTTTCGTTTCGGTCGAGCTCTAACTTTAAAAACGTTATAGGTAAAAAAAGAGCGACTTGGTTGGCTAAATTACCAAAAAGTTTACGTTGAACTAGAAATATTGCCACCGCTTTTTTCTAAACACGGCAGATCTTTGTTTTGAATCACCTAAAGGGATGGCACATTTAATGCTTTTTCAGCATCCAAATCTTCGACCCACGATCACGACTGAAAGAATTGTAAGGACATCCCCAAAAAACTTTATTTAAAAAATCTTAAATAGCTTTAAATTATTCCATTCTACGATTTGGTGGAATATAAGCCAGCCGAAGTATAAACCAGCCAAAGTATCAACTAGCCGAAAACACGTAAGTGTTATATTATAGTTATGTAACAATTATGTAACAGTTTCGAAAGTTATGCAAATTAATTCATATGATGTAACTTTTCGGCTGGCTCATATACTCCGCGCTTTTTTGGTTGTTTTACACTTCGGCGGTTTTTTTTTACTCTCTACGATTGAAATCATCCCTCCTCATTTGGTGAAAAGGTTGGAGGCATGAAATTACCTAATTTACAAAAACAATTTTGGTCATCATTTGAGCCAATGGTTGAAATTTTATTGTTTCTGAACAAACAAGGGATCTGCTTGACAACCCCCCCCCCCCATTGTATCTACTAAAGAATGTCCCCCTTTCTTGAAAGGGGGGAGATTGTTAAGTAGATCCCAAACAAGTTCAACGATTGAAGATTGCAACTGACCTGTAGCAACTCGATCGTGACATGTCTGTTGAAGTGTCTCTTCCCAGTGTCCACAATGAGGGCGTCCATGACGGCCTTGTTATGGACACTCTTTACCACTTGGTCCAACATGTTGATCACGTGGATGTTGTGGGCTCGCAGAAGGAGGTTGTTGCGAAACGCCTCGGCCGAAGAGAGGTCTCGAAATTGGGGGAAGTACTGCTTGCTCAGGGGCGACCGGTCGAACATCCTAGAAAAAGCGAGAACATTTTAAAAATCAATGTCAAATTTTTGACAATATCGTATCGGTGAACTATCGGTGACAATATCGGTGACAATGTCATCTTAATAGGCCACTCAATAACAGCTTTTTAGATTTCTTAGATTATTTTGATTTACTACCCCCCCCCCCCCTATGGTATCTGTTAATGAATCTCCAACCTTCTAAATAAATAAATAAAAATAGTAAGTTTGCCACAGAGCTTTCTATTGAGAATTCTATTTTGCTGGATTGTGATAGGTTCTACTTAAATAAAAAAAACTCTACTTAAACTACTTAAAGTAAAGTACTTAACGATCAGGCCCCAAAGGATTCTGATAGCAGCAGAATTTAGCAGAATTGGCAGAATTTGGCTTATAGAGCAGAAAATTTTATAGAGCAGCGGATAGAGCAGAACTTCAATCATACGGCAGACTTTGTTGATTTTGCTAAAAAATCGTTTCAAAATGATAAAATGAAAGCTGCAATTCTATTTCTCGGAAATACCAATTGCCCATCTATGCTGTACCCGACTAATTTTTTTTTTAAACTAGCTCTCGTTCTCAGAAACACACAAAATGAACCTATCTGCGACTCTACTTTTTTTTACTATTTTGCTTCCTGAAAGTGCTTCCTGAAAGTGACCAAAGAATTGCCACCCATATAAATAAAAGCTGTAAATTAGCACTGGATCATTGTGCTAATTTACTGCTTTTGTTTATGGGGTGGCAATTCTTTAGTAAATACCATGGGCAGGATTGTTAAGCAGATCTTCAAAAAACATATTGTCAACAACTTGGCATCGTGAGATTAAGTATTTTTAGAGTACATTTATACTGCCTCCCGGATAAATTTTTGAGAACAGCTGCTGTAACCAATACCATGAGAGGCAGTAGCGTCCGGAAGGAGGGCAATCAATTTAGTCAACAAGTAGTCTCCACATTAGCAATTATTGTTCGAGTTGGTTATTCTTGGAATGTCTTTTTTCACCCAGTTTCAGTAGGTTTGTCAGAAATCAAGATTTTTCTATTCTCATTCCTCTTCGAAATTGGCAATAAATGGGACGAAAACATAATATTTCGAATGGCCCATTCAAAATTAGATACAAACAAGTATAGACGAAAATTATCCTTGTTTGTATCTAGTTTTGGATGCCCCATTCAAAGTATTGTGTTTTTGTTCCCATTTATTGCCAACTTCGGAAAGGGATGAGAATAGAAAAACTTGATTGCTGACAAACCTACTGAAACTGAGTGAAAAAAACCATTCAAAGAACAACCAACTTGAGTTGCACAGAATCTTTTGACCATAGTCTATAAAAAACTACAAAACAAGTTTTTTTTCAAATTGTGTAGTTTGTTCTGCGCAGGATAACAAAAGATCTGACGCAAATCTATCTTTTAGGCATATTCGACAGTCATAGTAATATAAGCAAAATGTTCAAAAACATTTTTTGTGGAAAAATGGCTAGAAAAGCAAAAACAATCAACAAAGAATCAAAATTTGTTTTTCCAAATTATTTTGCAGACAAACTATGATTTTTTGCGAAATATTTGGTTCCCAAAATAAAACTGAAAAAAAAAGTCAAAAAAACTTAATTTGCTTAAGAATAAGTTTCCAGGGTTTAAATTAACCATAATTAGGCTGTTGTAAGCCTGCGCGCACGCTTTATTTGATCAAAATTGAAACATAAATCAAAAATTTCAAACCAGTTTTTCTCAATGCTGAATTTTTTTGGAAATTTTTTTTAATGTCGCACAAATCACGACTGAGAGGGTTGAGAGATATATCACTCGGCAAATTCCGATTATTTTTGGGTTACTTGATTTTACGCGGAAAACAAAAAAAAGAAAAAAACTGATAACACTAATGATTACAAAGTTAATCCACATTTTTCAATTGGTCGGAACAAAAGGCAAAATTTGGGGAAATTTTATTTAAAACAACAGGCTTTATTGATAGTAAGAAAATTAAATGCATATTACAAAGCTCATACCAACTTAATGAAATTTGAGAAAAATATATGCAAGGATAGCCAGTAGCAGATTCCCCCTTTTACTTTTTGAGATATCCATTTTTGGCTGAACGGCCTTAAAATTCTTCTATTGGCGCCATTGGTGCCAAAGTATACTGATTTTGAGGGGGAGCGCGCGCCGAAAAAACGCAATTTTTTGATCAAATATTTCCAAAAAGTGCCTAAAAACTTGCCTGAGGGGCAGAAAATTTGGTCAATATGCGGTCATTATAGTGATTTGAGAGAGCTCAAAAAATCAATTTGGTCGACCCAAAAAAAGTTTGAAAATCCGCCCCAAGAGAAGTTCTTAGATCTGCGCTTAGATATAGCTGAAATTCGTCAAAGTTAATTGAATATCGGTGACAAGCCAGCAATCGAAGGGCCAACAAACCGACAACAAATTTTGTTACGCAACATAACAACAGATTCTTATACAATTCTTATGCAATTTACGTTATTCTGAAGCATTTTCCGTTTCAAGATATGGCGCTTTGTTAAGCACCCGCCTGAATATCACTTAGCTGGATAAGTGACTCCCTTATACGAATCAATTCCTATCTAAGATCGCAAAATTAATAGAAATTTCTTTACGATGTATGTTTTATAAACTCACACTTAAGGTGAATAAATCTAAACTAAAAACTCAAAAAAGAGATAAAAATCCATTTTTTTGCAAAATCGCTTCTATAAAAATGAAGTCTGAAATTTTTTTAAAACTCCGTTGCCAGCGCATAATTTTTATTTGAGGGTTTTAGTTTGAATTGACACACCCGTTTAAAATCACTGTTCTCTAATTACATGCGGTCACAAACTTAACCTTCATCAATAATATATCGATTCCGCATTCATTCCTTAGAGGTCTCTCTAGGTTTCAATTGTTACCGAAGTAAGCTACTGCATAATGCCAACAACTAGAATAACCTCAAATTACCCCAGAAAAATCTAATATTACCTTTTTTAACCAGGAAGCTACAGAGAAATAGAAGCGGCGTCATCGCCCCTCTGAAAAGTGCTTGTCCGCCCCAAGAGAATTTAGCATCCCAAAATAATTGAATTAATCAGTCACGAGTTTAAGATGAAGGAGGAATTATTAAATAACGGACTCCAATTACAAAAAATCTTGATTAAAGTCTGGGTCAAATGTCACGCCAATGCTGAATGGAATAATTCAAAGACTTAAGAAGTAGTCGTGATCTGTAGTTGAAACTGGCTGCGGTAAAAACACAATAATATGGAATCATAAGAACCAATTAAAAATAAAATACTCATCTCAAGAAAGGAAGTTGTCATGTAATTATTCAAAAGTGTTTTTGACATCATTTCATTTTTGATGCAAAAATTGCTATGATGCCGTCGACATCTTTTTAGTCGCGCCAGTTTTAAATATCGCTACTTGTTAAAAAACTTAAGAATACTTCAAGTTTAAACGTGGATTCAGATTGTTAGAAGAAAGCAATCTTCAAAAAAGGAAACTGCCATGACATTTGAAAAATTAATTGAAACCTAACTTGCTCAATTTGAAGCAGACAATTCACAGGTTGAATGAAAAATTAAGATAATTTAGTCCTCCTAGTTCGATTATTTTTCAAAAAAATGATTTCAGGAAAAATTGTATCGGCATGGAAAAATTTGCATTTTGTTCCGACTTTGGAAGAAAGTAAGGAATATGTATGCTCGCGGTGTTTTTTTCAGACCAGTTCTAAAATAAAAATATTTCCCTTGGGCGATTGATCCATGGATCTTGGTTGTCACAGAAGGAGCGAGCTCACCACTAGACTATCCTGACTCAAGAAAACTGTCTAACTCTCACAAAAAGACTAACGCCCATTTTTTTTACGCGTCGCGAATTATCCCGCACCACAAAATCGTTCCAATTTCAATTGAGGCAGGCTAATTGGTCTTATCAATTCCATACTCGATTCATAATATTCAGCTCAAAATTTGAAGTTTGTCAAAATTTCATTCACCAACAACTATTCGAGACCAGTTTATGGACAGTCGGAACATTCAGGGCTTTGCCCTGATACGAGCAGTCTTATGGATTTATATGGCGTCCAAACACACATATAGAACACATGATGATAATAAATTATTTTTAGGAAATTTAGGAGACCAAAACATACAAATTAAGATGTCAGTAATTAACTTTTGGAGCTGTAAATTTTGTTTTTCCCGTTTTAATTATTTTTCGTTATTACTTTTTCAAAAAAATATATATCAATTCTTACACTGTTTTGTAAGAATAAATGTGAACCTTCAGGTAATCTTCATTGAAAATTTCATTGCAAACGGCTCTAAGTGTTATAATGTGTTATCAACTTGTCACTCTGAAAACCTCAACAAGAAATGCTGCTATTATCCGCTGCTTAGGATTTAATCGAACACAATCAAACCTCAATCCAATCAAAACCAAATAAAATGTCAGTTTGTATCAGATAAAACCTTGAAGTTACCGACTGCTTTTTTAAATCGTGATGAAATTTTTGAACAAGAAAAGGAAATTTTGATTTTTTCAACCCCTACATTAAAAAAAAAACACAAATAAAAAATCTTTGGTCAAAACACTGAATTCAAAGTTGCTAATCGAAAAGTTGAAACTTGTCTAGAGAAGAAAGATCGTCTTATTATTTGTTTGTGGTTTCCACAAGTGTTCCGGATTCCACAAATACGGTTGCGGATTCCGCAAAATCGCCTATTTTTAGAGCGATTTTAAGCGGTACAGTGTTTTAGGTATTTGTTTATGGAATCCAAAACAACGAAGAAGATTTGAGAGAGCTCAGAAAATAAATTTGGTCGACCTAAAAAAGTTTGAAAATCCACCCAAGAGAAGTTCTTAGATCTGCGCCTAAATATAGCTGAAATTCGTCAAAGTTAATTGAAAATCGGTGACAAACCAGCAATCGAAGGGCCAAAAAACCGACAACTAATTTTGTTACGCAACATAACAACAGATTCTCACTGTTGCTAAGCAATTGCT